AGGACAACAGCACTTCAGACGGGAGAGCCGCCCTAATCAACCACTTCCCAGTGGAGTTCAGCCAGGACCCAAAGAATGTAGATGAATGTGAGGCTTCCCATTTCCCTCACTGCCACAAAATCATGTCAGCCATATCCTTTCCACACATACCTGATTATACCAGAGAAGGCAGGAAAAGAGGAGATCTGAAAGACTAAGTGTATGACCTAGAGACCTGGAACTTCTGCCTCAAAGGACTGATAATCTCAGTTTATTGGGTGATACTAAATTTATAAACTTCCCGTTTTGTGAGGCAGTTGGTCTGAAGTGAAGAAGTTCTGATGAGTAATAATTCAAAATAAAAACTAATTTCTTTCAGCATCTGAGGGCAATAGCATGAGTAATTTTATAATCTTACTATATTCTACATCAGGAAGGAAATAGTGTCCAAAAAGCCAATTAACAAGAAAACTCTTTTATTGATAGAAAAGCAAAACAAATTTTCCATGAATTCTAATATCTGTTTCATTCTATTTGTTGGATATATTTGAGTTCAAAAAATCAGTTTTTTCTGTTGCTCTTGTCATTGTTGTTGTTGTTTATCCCCCTATGGGAACAACCCAATGGAATCACAAGTGTCCCTGCTTCAAACAGGTAGAACTACCTTGACAAGACATTGTCCTCAATTAAAGTTAATTAAATTCTTATTCTTAGCTAAGCATTCCTACATGGCACCAACTTGTTGGTGACATTAGTAAGTACTGATGTCAAGTCATCAAATCTGTTTCTCAAATGTTATCAAGTAAATCAGAAACCAAATCAGAGTCAGATTAAGGTTCAGTTCAACCCCTTTATAGATAGCTTAGTTCATTCAAATGTGAACTAAAACATCTATGAGCCAAAATCACTAATTCCCAAAAAGGATGGCCCAGAGAAGTGGTTTTCCAAATTCAGATTCAAAGTCCAGATTCACAGGGGAATGGACCCGAGGAGCCTGACCAGATTAAAGTTCCTGGTTTTAATTTAACCTACAACTTCCACATAATATCAGCTAGCAATTGCTCAACTGTTACCCACAGAAAAGCATTTAAAGCACATGTCTACACAATGGGGAGAAAATGGAATTTTAACCATTATCTAATTAATTCAATCGATATAGACAGAAATGGTAGAAAAGATCGATGCCAAAGTTTTTTTTAAGCTAATTTATCCATATTCTCCAAAAACTACATTCCAAACTAAACAGATAATGGTTAAATTTTCACTTTACCTTGAAGCTATGCAGATATAAGTTGTATCTCCACACAACATATAGGCTGAAAATTAAAAAATCAAGCTATAATCCAGGTTTTGTGGTCTAGACAGCCCTAAAGCTCTTCTAGATATTTTTACTTTCCATCTAGATATTTAAACCACATAGGTATGGTCACAAATTCATTATCATTGCTACATTTGAGTCACTAACTAGGAAAGGAAGCTTATCTAATTACCAACTCCCCGAGCCAAACAAGACTCTCCCTTCCATTAAAGAAAGAGAAAGTCATTCGGATTTAACCCCAGAGAAATAAGTACATGCATATATCTGACTTCTCAGCATCCTCTCTGGATAAGAGGATGGCACAATGGTTTGGTTTCCATCTCGTTCTTGTAATGACAGAAAAGAGAATACAAAAAGTCCATTGTAAATTTGTACAAAATGTATGCATATATAAATACATATCTATGGGTGTATATAAATTCTAAAGAAGATTATATTCATCTACATCTTTAAGATTCAGAGTCCCATACAGTTGACATGATGGTTTTCTCACTCCAATTTTCTCATTTTTAAAAAACAGTAAGAATCAAGCATGCCACCTTATTAATACTGAACAGCAAGTGCGGAAGTTGAGCTGTAGCTGCAGGGATTGAAGCAATTCATTTGACGGGACATCAGTGAACAAAATCCTTAAAATAAATGCAGCTATTTCCAGATTGCCTTTTGTTTCATATAAATGAAATCTGAAATGCCCTGTTGGTCACATCCCAAACTCCTGAGACTGACAACTGAGCTCAATAAGATGCAATGTTCTAAACAGGGTCTGTGCAAATTGCTCGGATATGTGCTTATTGCAATAATTTGGTGTGGGGACTGGTGTTACTAAAATTTCATGTAATTCACTATCTCATAAAAAAAAATCTCAAGTGACACCACCAGAAGCTTAGAATTCTGAGTATATTAAACTCAGCATGGAATTTGACTCACAAACCACATCATCTTTACAAAGAGCACTATTAAAAATATTAAGCCACAGTCAGTTAATGGAGAAAGGCATACAGATTTAAAGGTGCACAATGAGAGCATGTTACGGATGTGTGCCATGTTTAGAGGTATCAAGATGTTTTTTAAATGGTATACATAACGCTTTCACTTCTCCTGTGTCCTCTATTCCTTTGGGGAACTCCGACATAGGACGCTCTCATAATGACCCCCTAGAGTGTACCGGCTCTCCCTGGAAGGGGTTATTATTGCATGCCTTGAATGCACTGCGATTCATAAGGCAAGAACGTATGAGTGGCTTCAGCACCAAGGAAATGGAATCATCATCCAGCACTGCTCACAACAGAACATCTTATTGCTTTAGTAAAATGGGAAATTATCCACTGTAAGAAGTGCCCCCAAACAAGGGGAAGAAGGTAATATCCACGCACTTAGGGGAGCTTACTGGAAATGAGGAAGCTCCCTTCTGAGTCCCTGGTTCTATTCAAATTTCAAGTCCGAAAGTCATTCTGTAATAAGGTATTAAAGAGCTACAGCTAGATGAGGGTGAGCTACAAAAATTAATGGACTTTCTTCTTCACAGTGCCTTAGTCATTCTGATGTACAATGTAGAGCTCTGATGCACTAAAGGATTCCCTAGCGGCCTGAGGGAGGTACTGCATTCTTTTACCTATTACTAGGGAGTGACTAAGGCACTGGAGAGAGTCTGGTTCATTGTTTAATATAGTGAACCCAAAGATTCTACCTGGTCTTCCTAATATTACAACATGGCATGCTTAAATGATGATCCTCTGTGCTTCAGGAAAGGATGTGAGTGAATATCTAATGGGTTTGGTTAAAACTAAGCTTGTTAAATTATTTGTATAAAAGATGCAGACGGAACTTGACCTAAAACCTCATAGGTAATATTCTTCTCTACATAAGAGCACAGAAGCCTGGAACCAAGACAGAGAACCTAGAATTATTAGTTATTTCGAAGAGGGATGCACTTAGGGGCACGGTCGCCTTACACTCTGCAGGTTAATAAGAACTCTTTCGGTCGAGCTTTCTGTAGAACATCCACATTCATACATTGTCCAAACATTTAAACAGCTGTCGAAGATTTGGTTCCCAAGAAAGGATGCCACTGCATATAATTAAGACTGTAACACGTTTCTGGCCCCTTCTATCATCAGTCCAAGGGGAACAAAGTGGGAAATAACCATAAGTGGACCCCATTTCTAACACAGACGGCCTTGTCTGGCATCAGGAGGGAGAAGAAAAACATCGATCTTCTTCTTTCTCACTTTGCTTTTCTCTCAATCTTTTTTGGTGTATCCAGCCAACACAGGTAAGCCAGACTGAGAAAGAGAAAGGAGCCCTTCCTTCACTGCACCTCGGACGCAGGCACAAGTTTTTAACTGAACAGGCTTCAAATATTGTCATCCTACAAGTAGTTACAGGGTTTAACTTCCCTTGAAATTTGCATGTCCTGTCATCCAAATCGCCCGATATCCCCACCAGCCTCGCCCCCCAAACACATACAGTACAAGCAAGCACCCCCCCATCTGCCTCCAGGGGATAACTGCATGCAGGCAGGACTACAGGCACTGTTTAAATATTAACCATGTTTTAATAGATGGCATTCCTGCACATCCATTATTTGTCTGTTTTCTGTTGTGGTTGTTTCTGTTATTCGCAAAAGAAAAAAAGAAAACATATGTGTTATCTTTTTATAACAGTCGACTACAGAATAAGGTACAAAAGAACACTTCTGGAAACAGCAGAAGCCGGGTCTGCACCACTGAATTGCTCATCCAGTGGTGACCATTGTATCAACAGCTGGAAATGAAGAACAAGACTATACAGTTTGGGGGATGTAGTACAGAACTATAGTTTGCTTCTGTATTTGGTACCAATATAATAAATATATAACAAAGGTGCACTTGCTCTAAGAATGAAACAGAAACATTCTGGTTGGTTAGATACTGCACTTTCAGTACTGTACATCACCTAGTAAATTTTTTTTTTTTTACAAAAAAGGTAACTTATGCAATGTATAATAATAAAACCAATAGTACACGCAAACCCGATTATAGAAAAAGAAGAAAGAAACCAACAAAAAGCTAAAATAGTCATTTCTCAAAACAGCCCCTCCTCTGCCTCCTCAACCAAAGAAAGTAACCAGTCCAGGGAAGCAATTTCAGCACCACACCTGGCTGGACAGCTTCTGGATCCCTGGTGAATCCTGAAGAGCCCCAAGTCAAAGGTGTACAGCTGGGAGCGGGGCAGAGAGCTAAAGCAATAGAGTTTCTTTTTCTTTTTTTCTTTCATTCTTTCTTTCTCTTTTTTTCCTCTTTCTTTCAACTCATTTAAAGATTTTCAGCCAACGAGGGACATTTCTAAAAGTAAATTTAAATGCCTGGTCCTAGAAAAGGGAATGGTTAACTAAGGGCTGAGGAAGAGGGCTGGCCAGAGATGGGTACATGTCACACACATTTTTCTGGGACTGTCTCTGTGGCCTCTTGTAGTTCTGGTGCTTAATGTAGACGTTTTCTTTATAATATAGTATTGCCTGAGCCCAGCGGAGGGTGGGTATGGGGAAGGGAGGGAAGCTGAAGGAAAAGTGAAAGCTTGGGGGGGGGAGGTAAGTGAACCTTAACTTGACAGCTATGTACAACACACCAGGCCCCCTCCACTCCCTTTGATCCAGGAATCAACGTTTTTTTAAAAATTTTTGGTAGTTTGGGGGGTTTTTTGTCGTTGTGGGGGGGGGGGGGGGGGGGTGCAGGGTGGAGAGGGAAGACGCATCCTTCATCAACAATGAGAAATTAGGTGATTTGTCATGCGCTTGGATTGTGTTATTAGTATATAATTACTATAAATATTAATAATAAAGTATTATCAGCGCTATTTCTTGAGACTTTCCTCGCCCAGTATTTACAAATGCCGCACAGTGCCTCGGCGGAGGAGGAACAGAGTAAGGGGAGGGCAGACAGGGAAAGAAGAGGTGGGGGGGGGGCAGAGAAAAGTGGAAGAAGAAAGATGGAGGGGGAAAAAAAGCAAGGACGGCAAAGATGCTGGAAATGAGGAAGGGGAAGGAGGGGGCTAAACAATCAGGACAGGACCACCGTTTGCAAAAGGCCCTCGCCAGCTGTGTCCAAACAGGAGGAGGCCGCGTGTGCTCCTTGCGGGCTGGGGGCCGGCGGGGGAGGTGGAGCGGCACAGGGACCCTGGCGTGGAAGACCAGGGGCCGAAGACGAAGAGGAAGCGTTGGAGGGGGCGCAGAAGGCCAAGTCCCGGGGCTGCCTCTCCAGCCGGGTTTCTTTCGCATGGGTGGGGGCCTGGCCGCCCACCGGTGGCAGCCCCCGGCCGCCGCGGTTGCTGCTGCAGTGATCCCGCTCGTACTCCTCCTGCGCCCGCTGCATCTTCCGCTTCTTCATCCTCCGCTTGTGGATGTGGAAGGTGGAGAGGGACAGCACGATGAGGCAGAAGATAAGGGTGACCAGGACAATCAGCACCAGCGTGGAGGAGAAGGACTGGAAGAGCTGCTGTCCCACCTGCGTGATGCAGGTGCCGCCGCCGCTGCCGCCCGCGCCACGGGCGCTCGCGTTGCCACTGCCGCTGGCGTTGGGGGAAGCAAAGGTCCGGTTGAGGAGACACGGCGGCAGCGCCAGCCTCAGCTCCTTGGGCGCCCTGGCACTCATCGGCGCTGGGCTGGGAGGGGCCGGGCCCACCAGGCTTCCTCTCTTGGGCAACCGTTCCCACCAGGAAAGAAGAGGACGAGCCCACGCCACCCAAAACTACTCCCTGGTGCGGGAGGGGATGCACGCGCGAGCGAAGGGCTGAGAGAGCAACCGCGGACAAGCAAGCCGGCCAGGAAGCGAGCGGTGCCCAGGAGATCCTCTCTGGCCCCGCCTGGAACGCGTGTCCGCGCGCCCTTTTCCTCTCTCAAGGCACCAGGCTGCAAAGAGAACAGGCTTAGTTAGGATCCCGGCCGCTGCCCAGGGGAGTGCGGAGGACCGGAAGGATCAGCCACTACCGCAAAGCGGCCCTCTGGGCACACTGCCTCGGCCGGGCGCTGCCCGTCTTCTCCGCAGCCGGGGGACCCCAACCCGCCCGCCCCTGGCCGCGCACCCGAGCCGCCAGCTTTCGCGCCGCGCCACTCGCTGGGAGGGGGTCTGCGCCGGCACCGCGGAGAGACAGATTACTCAGCAGATAAGGCAGCCTTCCTCGGCCCTCCACAACTTTCTAATTGGAACAGACACACAGCCGCCTGGGAACGCGGTCCCCGCTTCCCAGAGCACCGACTCGCCTCCTTCCTTCGCCCTCTTAGTGGATGTCTTCCTGTGCATCCCACCCTTCCCAGCACCCACCCCCAAGCGCCGAACAAGCGGGCTCCGGGTGCGCAGTACTGCCTTCTCTTCCCTTCCCCTCCAGACTCCTCTTCCCTGGCCGGCTTCAGTCCCCTTAAGTCCCATTCCCAAGGGGGCACCACAGCAACCACATCCCACTCCGCCTCTGTCCGTGACCACAGCTGAAGCGCTGGATCACGCTCCCTCCATTCTACAGTCTTCTTCCCTGGTACCCCCGCCCCCCAATCAGAAAAAGAAAAGCAGCTGAAACACCTTTTTCAGCTAAAGCACATCCCCGCAAACGCCCCCTTCTCTCCATCTTCCTGTGCCCCGCACTCGGCAGTATCCTGCTTCTTTCTAGGGGGACTGGAAATGGAAGGGTCTGGGTTTTCGTTTGCAAAGTTTGGGGAACGGACCTTCCCTCCGGCATCCCCAACCCCAGCCCGAGGCACTTCCCGGGGACGAGAACCAGGTAGACCCGCAGCACACAGCAGAGCCCCCTTGTCGTGCTCGAGAGGCAGCTGCAAACTGTTGCACTGCGGAGCACAGACGAGGCGCGCAAGCCAGGTCTGGGCAGGGTGGGGGCCGAAGCTATGGCCAGGGTTGCCTGCGCAGGCCGCCGGGGCTGTCCGACCCGCTCGCGCCCCACCACCCTGCAGCCTGGAACCTTCAGCCGCACCGCATCCCTTACCTGGGGCCACCAGCTGGCTGCAGGGAGGGAGCCCCCGCCGCGCGGCTGCAGTGGCGGCTGCAGAAGGCGCGGAGTGAAGGGGCCAGAGACCAAGCCTCGCTGCTGCCGCCGCCGCCGCTTCGGGGAGCTCAGCTCGCAGCCTATTGCCAGAGAGGCCGGTGACGTCAGGCAGCCACTGCCAGGGCTCCAAGCCACCCCTCAGGCCCCCACCCCACCCGCATACCCTAACATCTCATCCTGGCAGAGTGAGCCTCTGCCACACATTCCCAGTTCCCCGTCCTTCCCTTCTCTGGGGCTGGGTACGAGGAGCAACCCCAGCACCACGCAGTGAGAGACCCACCTTCGGCACTCCTAAGCCTGGGAAGGGAGGAAGCTTCAGCTCCCCGGCATCTTCACCCTCAACCTTCTTCCACATGGTCCCAGGAACACATTTTTACACTCTAGAGAGCCATCTCCCCGCAGGATACACATTCGATTTTTTTTTTTTCTCCTTTCCCTGGGCTGATGAGGATTGCTCTCCTCTGCAAACCTGTCTATGCTGGCCTGGTTCTGAACAGAAACTACGTGAATATGAGAAATGAGGGGGGCATTTCTGAACACAAGTGGCAAAACATTAAATACAAACCCGAACGTGTATTTAACATTGAACAATGCAAATTAACAGTTTTCCTCTCCACAAGAGCCTTCAACTTACCTCTCAGGTCACCTGACTCATGGATCCCCTCCACTCATTCACACACACATCTCCAGGCCCAAGACTCACTCCCTATATTAAACACTCTCCTTTAAAATCTAGTCACTTGTGAGCACACAAAACACACGCAAGGCTTACAAGGCAAGTGAAAGGTGAAAATAACTTAGAGGAGTAGAGAAATAAACCATGCTATGAAAATTCTGCACATACCCCCTTACTTTGCTATAGTGTTAACAATAGCCTCTCAGCACCGTGGACAGAACTTCCTGAAAGATTCTCGTCACCCCACCTATATCCAGGCAGAGATGAATCAACTCTTGCTTTAGGACCCTTGCAAATGTATGAATAGTGCACCTCGCTAACAGTAGGCTACTTTAAAATGAAGTATTCTAATTTTTCTATTGGAGAAACCAGCTTGGAATAGCACATAAAGACACTGTATGATCTTTGGAAGCATTCACTTGTCTTATTAAATATGCATTTCCTTTTTCTCTCCCTGTCTTTTCTTCCCATCTTGGAGTCTAATTTAATGCCTGTACAATATTTACCTGCAAAATGGAGTGGTGCAGTAAATAGTGCTTTTTCTTGCTATCCATCTGAACTGGGAGATAGCAGGAATGACTGACACCTTCCTAACTGCTTGCAAGTAGAGGGTTTTATAAAAAAGAGGGTATGACACAGGGAATAAAAGTTTGTTTGTCATCTGGGTGTCCCTTTGGACCCTGTGTCCCTATCTGGTCCTACTCTAATTTCTCCTTTTCCTCTCCTTGCTCACAATTTACGTATGAAGTAAGAAATGCATATCTCTCTTCCAAATTTTGGTTTTCATTTATTTGAATAAAAGCCATCAGATTTTTCTTCATAATTGTCTCAATCAAAAAAAAAAAAAGTATCCCTATTTAAGCTAATACCAGTACATGCTGAATCATGCAAGATCATTCAGAGCACAGATTAATGCCCGTGGCTGCAGGACTCACATGGTTAATGATGGCCAATGACCTCAATGCTGGGTTAGCTTTCCTACCTAGAATGAGGACCCCCCAATGCCCTGTGAAAGCCACGGGCCATATTTGGCCATTCTGACTCAGATGGGCTCAGCGGACGGAATGGTGAGCCTCGTGATCACTAAGTAAGACTTCACCAATAACACTTGACATGCAATGCCCCATTTTTGTACAATCTCTTTGCTCCTGAAAAGTTGAGTTTAATCAACATTTTGTAAGGCAAATCCAATTTTGAATACTCCAAAAAGAGATGCAGCTATTTAAAGAGACTCTTTAGAAAAACTGTCTGGTAAAGCAAAGATCTTTACATAATTAGAATTAACTCTCACTAGTCTGTTTTCTAGACTTGGAAGAATGAGTTATCCGGTTTTCCCAATGAGAAACATGCATACCTTTACAATATGTTGTAATGGGATTACTGCATATAAATATACGTATAAATATAAGTATATATATAAATATAAGGGGGTTCCTTTTTCACACCAAGCTTCCAGGTGTGAGTAGGTTGCCATTGTTCTTTTTCTTTTGTTATAAATGATACCACGAGTGCTAAAAGTGCACCATTTTCCACAACGTATGGAAAGACAAGGTCTTACCTTAGAGAATTTACAGTCTACAGCAGATGAATGTGATCCACAAGACAATGGTATTTAACTGGAAATGATTTAGGTAAAGACATCAATTTTTAGGTCAAAAGCCCAGCACACTTTCCACCTCCCCTTCTCTTTCAAGAAGAATGGGCTGTAGGTTCATAATTTGTTCTTACCCAGAAAACGAATGTGCTCACAGACTTAGATGTCACTGGGTAGTGGAATTCAAACCCCAGGAACACCACTGACAGTAGCACGCACACCTCTGGGTCTGCAGGCACTGAGCTCACTGAGCTGCTGTATGATTCTGGAACATCTGGGACAATGGCAGGACTTCTCCCAGACAAAACGCTGCCACTGTTTTTGCCCCCAAACTTCTCAAGCCACACCTTCAAGACTGGAGGGCCAAGAAGCTTCTGAGATTTCCAGTGTCTTCCCTTTCTAATAGGAATGGCCCTCTTGACTTAGGCACACTCCAAATATTCAGCAACATACAATTTTGCTCTTTGCTCTCAATTTTGATGAGGGATCTCCACCTAGCATAGAGAGATGTACCATAAAGGCACCTGTTATATCAATCCAGAAAAATACCACTGAGTCAATAATGACAAGGAGTGCCATTACTATTATTATCAACAAAACACCTACTATGTGCCAGGCTGCAGTAGCATTTGTCCTCAACCCAACCTTGCAAAGTTACTTTTGCCAAAGCATAAAATTATTCATTCATTCATTCATTCATTGGCTTATTTGCTCAACAAAACCCTGTGACTCCCTGCTATGTCAGGTGAGGAAACGAAAGCTCAGGGTAGCTAAAGACCATGCCCAGGTCACTTAATCACTTAATAGGAAGTATATTATGGATATCAAAACTAAGTAAGCGGACTCCAAAATTAGTATTCTTTTCATAGCTAGTGGTCTCTTTCTCTCTCTCCTTCCACCCCTCTCTCTCTCACACACATACACAGTATCTCTAATTCTATCCCTATTTCAATTCTATCTCTGTTGCTGTCTACAAGTATGAACAAGTAAAATAAAATAAAAAAAAAAAAGCACAGCTGTTTGGTTGAAGCAGAGGAGGAGATGTGCAAAGCCCCATTTTGGAGGCCTCCCTCCTCCCCTGGCACCAGTCCACCAGACACTCGACACACTCCCTTGAGTGGAGCAGAGTCCAGTCTGGAAAAGCCTCCAGGCCCAGGTTATCTAGGCACATCATTCTGGACCACAGCAGCATGACACATGTGAGGCTCCTCACAGATTGACAGGGACCTGGTCAGAGGATGTTCAGGGCCAGACATTCTGCCCAATCATCTATCTGGACAAACCTGGGCCCTTGCATCCCTCCACTCTGTAAGCTGTTATGTTGCTGTTAAATCAACTGATGGCCCAGCCAGTGATTAATTAATAAGCAAAGTAATGACTGAAGTTCTAGACAGTTTTCTCATCTGTAAAATGAGAATAATAGCAACAGTATCTTCTCTGCAGTGCTCTTTTATGCACTAAGCATACACTAAACATTCAGTATATGGTAGTTCCTTAGGCTACAAAGAAAATTACTAGGATTAATATTTTATCCCTGACAGTAGAAGCATTATACTGTTTTGGACATCAAAATTCAGGTAATTTTTGTTAAGTTTGAGCATCCTTTATGATAAGTTTGAGGGTAACTATAAGGGTAAAGAAACTGAAAACAGTAACAGACAATGAACAATTGTAAGAGCTAAGAATATGAATCTTAGAGATAGAAAGACATTAGGGATGCAGGAGAGAATCTTCAAATGTTTGGAGCATCATCAGCAGAAGATGAATTTATCCTACTCTAGGTACTTATGAGAGAGCTTAAATATAGTAGAACAGATAAATAGTACAAAGCATATTTCAATTCACTACTTTGGTATTGGAAAGCCCTTTCTAATCATGCCGAAGACGGTCATCAAAGCCAGCAGTTTCCAAAATGGGGGACTCAGAACTCTGAGAGCACATTAAGATTTTTTCCCAGGGGTAAATGGGTATGTATATCTTTCAAGGAATCATTTCCCAAATCCACAACCTCTATGAAAAATGTTTCTATCTAAGGTTAAAACTTATTCTTTGTCAACACTCCAACTTTACATTCGCCAGTCCTCAACAACCATGCATTACTTAGGGTATAAAAACAAAGGAATAACAAGAGGTTGTATAATTCCTGATAAGGTGACAGCAAAGCATAAAGATCATCTGTAAGAAATATCGATGGGGTAATGCCTTATTTCATCCAGGTGACAGACTCATTCTAAGGCTCTGGTCTATCCATATATTGATTTATCTTAGAATGAGAATTTACAAGTGAGAAGTTGTCACAGGCATACAAAGATCCCAGTTTATTTAAATTGAAAAATGAATCCAGACTTTTTGCACAAGAAGTAAACCTCATTTGTCTATTTTGATTAACAATTTGAGCTGCATTTATCT